TAAGGGACGACGTCAAAAAATCGATGTCGGATAAAAAAACTTATTTCCTTTAGTTTGGGGGTGGGGGCTTTTGACCTCAAAAAGTTTCCATCCTACAAAAACGATTTTAGATTTTATTTTTTAATGAAGTCAAAAAATCTTGGAGTATTTGTAGTTGTATCCAATCATGGACAGAAATAACCAAAAAAAGGGAAAAAAAACAGAAAAAATGGTTTGGAGTGTAAATCTGTGCGTCAATTGAGGTGCATTTGTAAACTATTTTTCCACCCACCCGACAACCAACTGCTATGCAATACTACTGTCCGATTATCAATTTGTATTTAATGATGAATGTAGTCTGACGCCATGACCAATATTTATCAATTAAGTTTCAGTGGGGGGTGGGGGGTAGGGGGGTTTTGAAAAAAAAACTAAAGGAATTAAGTTTTTTATCCGACATCGATCTTTTGACGTCGTCCCTAAATGGACAGATTGATAGAGTTTCATTATAGGTGTCTCTATAGCAACCACATACGGTTTCAATTACATGTACCGTGGAAAAGACCACCTATATTCCAAGAATTAAAGTTAAATAATTAAACACGTTTATAAAATTGATTACGTGCATTGTCGCAAGCATAATTTTGCTGTTACAGCACAAATTGCCACTATATTCTAGTTCAATACTGACGACAAACCCCACACTGTGACAATTTCACAGTTTTGCACGATTTCAACACAATATGAGTGGTAATTGCAATTACAACGAGGCGAGAATTGTATGTACCCCACAAATAGAAACACGACAATTTCTTAAAAAAACAACAACAGGTTTACAGGTCTGTCATCTTTCATAATAACCAGCCAACAATTCTAAGACATGTTAAGTTGACGTTAAATACAATGTATTAGGAATATTACCGTAGCTAAATGACCAATACGTAGCGCCCTCTAGTGTCTATTGCATCAGTAGTCAACTCTGATTGGTTGTGCAGTCGTTTAAAATATAACTAAAATATAACAGAAGACTTTTGGCCAAAATGGCTGAATAACGTGGTAACTAATGGCCATCACGCTTCAATTGTCATTTTAGACGCAGATCAGCAAGTAAAGACCCCAATTTTTGATCTGGGGCGAGGGTAAGTTCCAGACACCACGTGGTAATCTGTTACTTGTAGCGGCAAGGATTCTGTGATGTTTTATTTACGTGCAGGGGGATAGAGACGGCACCGGCACCTACAAGTTGTTGTTCTATCAGACTGCTGGAACCCACATCCCCAACGCTGATACGCGGGCAGTATGTATGTCTTTGTTGTCACGTAATCTTTTATGTTGCAACCAAACTTTGGAGACGAACTCACATTATTGTCCACAGATCAGATTAAGTCATTAATGGTAATCTGATTGTCTGGGTCAAATTTGTATCTGGGGGTCAAATATAATTAATCATGTAGATAAGAGCGATTTAAGTAAATATTTGTTTCACTTTGTTTTTTCAAAACTAATGTAGATATAAATAGTAGATACAAAAGTAGATATAAATAGTATGAGTCCCGGTGGTATGACGGAAACCTCTTTTCGGTGTTTCGTTTTTTATGTGGGCATTTGCAATGCGCATTATTTCAGGGTGACGTGTCAACATGTCAACCTATCAACGATAAGCTTTTGTCGTGACAGAGACATCCAGGACTACTGCATCATTTCCAATTCTCGGGAATTTTTCTCTTGCAGACTAATCTCCTTCCAATCTGATTAAACTAAGATCCTAGTTTTGGCTCTTTTTTTTGCATATATATTTTATTTTATTTTGATCTAGTATTTATCTTTGGTAATTGGGAAAAAAGTAAAATAAAAAATAAAATAAAAATAACTTTATAGCCAAAATAATTAAAGCCCGTGCACTACATTAGATTTTAATCAGATTGACCTCCCCCATACCCAACTTCCACTTCACTGTATATTATGTACGTTGTTTTTTTCAACGTATAGGATTCTGTCTTTTATATGCTAAAGATACTGTAGATGTCTCGGTGTGTTAATCCGCAATTTCAAAAGAGGTTCGTGTGGGTTTCCCACTACCACAAAATATATCTCCCTTCTCTCCCCACCGTAGTTTATTTTTACTACAGTGTGCCGTGCGGACTATAAAACTCACAAACTCATGCCTCGCTTCAAGCGTTTGAATTCTGTCGTAAATAAAGATAGTCTTCGACTTTTGATGTGTATATACTTGAATATAAAAGAGAATATTCACTACAATTATTTAACGCGTAGAATTATTTTTAAAACAGTTTTTTTTTTCGATTTCAACAGTTTATTCTGTAGATTTAATTGCCGATCTGTCGACCTGGATTCGGGTGGGCGTGGAATCGGCTGATTGCTTGGGCACATCAGCCACCTGCTTATAGATACACCATGGACTCCCTATGCTCAGCTTTAATCTCAAATGATTATGTTAATCTGTTATGACTCTGAAAGTAGGATCATAAATACTCAGTAAAACTTCGGGCATCTAATAAGCCAGATTAGAGTGTTTTTCAGACCACTCGTATGGATGGACCGAAAGACATAAATGCATTAGTGCCAGAACCAATACAGGAATCGACATCTACACACTATCCAATACTGAGTGCAATTCCCTTTCCCCCTTAGCGAAATAATATGAGATTATTACGAGGATACCTCAAAATGTACACGAAGACAGCACAGCAGTATCGACCGAAGCTCAGCGGAGGTCGATGCGACGGCGTACTGTCTTCATGCTCAGACTAGTAATACAAGTCTGAGCTTCATGCATTACTTTGAGGTATCCTCGCAATAATCTTATTATCATACATCTTTTCCTCCGAAGGATACATCATGGGAATGCCGAAATCCGAAAAGAATCAATGAAGCTCTTTGTGTAGAGTCCGGTCAAACTCTGGTGGCAGCCATGTCTGTTTTTATTATTAGAGGACGCGCGTAATCATTCCATATTTGGAATTCGCCTTTTCTTATAAGGTAGGATGAAAATAACCCGTAAAATATAATAATGAATAATAAACACCGTGTCAGTTACGATATTACGATATTAATAGTGCCTAATCGTTAGCGTACATTCAAGTTCAGTTTAAGTTCGCCAGAGATTTGTCCGCGGTATTCATTTTACCACCAAATAATGTAAAATCTATAAAATGTATGCGCGATATATCGAGATGTTTATCTAATTCAGGCAAAATAAATCCCAAGTCAAAGTTCAAAGACATATCCCAAGCCACAAACAAGTCACATAAAATGCTCTCAGACTTCCTCGGAGACGAACACATAAGTTGAACCGGGCTCCGCTACGCAAAATACAAAAGTGGGCATCGATACAACGTAATAATGACAAAGTTGTATTTAAGAGGCTGATTATTTTGAATGTTTGGTGGTTGTAACTCATTGTATAAATTCTTCTAAATTCTGAAATCTCTAGTCGTTCTACAATAAAAGATAAGGTTCGAGAGGTTTACACTTTTCTAAATGATAATCGACATTTTTTCGTCCACTTACGTTACGTGCGCGTTCCATTGCTAGAAGGCGTTATTATAGAAAAAGTGTATTTTCATGCGCACACTAAATTGAACTAAAATAATTCTTCTGTGTTCAATACGATGCTGTTATTGTTATGTTACGTTTAGTTAATAAAATCTTACCTACTCCCAGAATATTACTGTTGAAGTGATTTTCTGTGTTTACTTCTTTATTGAAAAAAAAAATAAATAATAATAATAATAATAATAATAATAATAATAAAACAATAGCACGAATCACACACGAAATATCTGGTATAACAATTTACTGGCGAATTCCATTATCATCAAATCTAATTGTACGTATGTAAATGATACATGCCATGATTAAATATAAAACGAGTACAATATGGCGGATGTGAATGATATCACCATGGTTACGACTGATGTTACCATTTGAGTGGCACCATCACCATTACCATCATTATCATCATTTTCGTCTCCGCCATCATCGCCCTGATCATCGCCGCCATCGTCATTATTTGCATCTCCACCATCGTTATTATCATCGACATTGTCACCGTTCCCAGCAACCTCTGTACTGCTGGAGGGGCTCGTTGATGGCGTCGAACCACTGTTACACAGGGAACCAGTGCAACATTCAGTTATAGTTTTTGGATCTGTAAAGATATATTGGACACAGGGTAGTACAGTCCCGGGGTTGCCCCTATAATTTAAGTAAGCGGTATGCGTCGCTGACCGCCATTTTTTTTTACAGCTGAGTCAGGTTTAGTTTTAACTACTCGCGAGATACTCTGAAGTGAACCATATGTTTATCTAACATCCCGACATGCCGTGCTTAAAGCGGGAGGGTCGTCACCTGCGCACGCGCAGGAATTGAGTCCCAAGCAACGATAACAACACACACTAAAAACGCAAAGGCTCATGGGTAGACGCTTGTTTATAAACAATGACACGCTATGGCCATCTGACACAAGCGTAGGTGACGACTCCCCCCCTTTAAGTATAAGTAGCGCCCCCTGGTGACGCGAATAGAACGAACGCAGTTCACTGCGGCCATTTTTTTTTCGTAGTGGTCTTCCATCAATATACAAAATTTGAAATGACGAACGACAGCACAACCAGCTGATGATTTGAACTACATTGTTATGTAGTTGACTATGTAAGAGTACAGTTCATCAGATTGTTAAATCCCCATTTTAATAAATTCATACTCACCGCCATTAACTGTACTTTCGATGCAAGAACTTGGTGAACATGAGCGCGTGACGGCGGTAACAACATCATTCGATATAGAAAATATCGTCTGCAGAATAATCATGATAGTACAGTGTACCTAAAATTTGTTATTTAATAATTTCTCTGGTCAACATGCAAAACGTTCAAATCGGGATCTGACGTCCGACGGCTAACCGTGACAAAGCCCTTCATCTCAAACATTACAGCCATGTGTTTACAGTATATATTATTTTTTTTATTTTTTTTATTACAGATATTTTAACTTATCTCTAGTGAACCAATTATATAGAACCCCCTAAGTTTATTATGGTTAGTCCCTAAATCGACCAGAAATCAGGGGCGTGCCCCCACCCTCTCTCGTTTCAACTTACCGTGCAGCTATCGCAGCCAGTGATACTCATGGAGACGGTATTTTCACTCGGGGTTTTACAGTTGCTTTCGTCTTCGCCAGAATAGCTACATACATAACAATCGCCACTCACTGTATCTGTAAGGTAAACAAAATCGTTTGTCTCACTACGCACCATAGTCACCACAATAATAGATTGGTATCGCCGGAATAATCCATTATTTTTTTTAGGTCAATGTTTGATTTGAAATACTTTTTCTGTCATTCGCTCACTCGGCGAATTCTTGGTATGCACGCACCGTCGCGACATACGTCGGAACGTCTCTGCCAATTACTTACGTGATCATACTATTACGTGCTTGCATCTGAAAACTCGGTAAATGATAATCAGCAGCATTATGCTCGCCAAACAATATGTGTAATATAACTTTTGACCTTCGTTTACTCACCGAATGAGACGGCGAATAAGGTAGTTAACAGTACGAACGCGTACGTAATCATCGTGACAGATCAGACTTGTTGGTTGTACTCCAGGTGTATTCGGTGCCTGGACTGCATAATGAGAATGGAAAGAGTACAGGCACACAAATTAGATAGTATAATACTTATATATACATAATAAAGTTTTATTCCCACTTTATACTATATACACCTCCGACTGATTATTGCAATCGCCATGACAACTGATAAACTCAATTGGTTTGGCGAAAAATCTTGAAGTATTTGAGCGCTGAAGCTAATCTGTTTCGGAGGTCGCCTTGTCTAATCACAAAATCACTTTTCATTGTTTTAAACACTCGTTCACTTTACTGTATTTTGTGCTATGGACCTTCTAATTCGTTTTCGGGATCATGTTGCCTGAACATTTTCTCAGGAACCATACGAAATCCGAAACCCTTATGCTGTTTACAGGGACCAGTGAGAGGTTATGTGCATACCACTGCAAAGGGAGAAATGCAAATTTAGGGCGGTCTCCGTGTACACTACGTGAACTGTGACTCATTCGGTGCTACGCAATTCCTGGCGTTGATTTCTCCGATGTTTTGCTACAGACAGCGAACGACTTCAAGAAAGAATTTGATCCACCGGCGATATTTTTTTTAATTATGTGAAGTTGAGTTTTTTCGCTTCTCGTATGATGTGGCATAGTACGACGGGAATACAAACTAATTCACGTATTCATACCACACAACGTAGTAACATGACCCCGTGACGCTCCGATACACATTCCCTATAAGGAACGCCCTCTGCCAACGAAACGCTAAATGTACAGCCGTTTGTGCTCATAATACACGTATCACTTACGCGGCAGTGGGATAAACTGTAATAGTTGGTTGTCATGGAAACGACGAGGTATTTAATATGTTATGCAGCTTGCTTGCGGAAATAAAACCAATTCTAATAATTACAGCTATTTAAAAAAAAATACTCGTTACACACATTGTCACCACTGTCGTCAATATTGCAATTAGTTGTTCCGCCGAGCTTCTGTCCCAGTCACGTTTCTTTCGAAAGGGAAATGAAAAAAAGCTGTTGACATTTTTTGTTGAAAATAGATGCGTGATAATATTATATAATTGGTCATTTATCCACGTTTTTTTTTCTCGAATACCTGATGAGATCTAGCGATGCAAAAAGAATAACGCACACGTAATATCTCCATGCGTTGTGAAATCAGTGCTGTTCGTCAATTTCACTTAATTTCACGTAATAAAAAAAAACACGCTGTCGGCACCTTATGATGTACAAGTCGCTGCATCTCGAGAATTCAATATTCATCATGAATCATCATGAATAATTAAAAGAAAATATAAATACATGAACAATCAGTAGTTTCTTTTTTTCAGAGTATAATATATTATAATGATTCATTTATTTCCGACAATAACAAAAAAATCACCGTGGATATATCAGTGATCTCACTGACACCTTCCGTCGGTAAAGCGCATTGCTTTTGTTTTACATGCTTTGTATGTAAGTACCTATATTTTAAAATCACTAATTATTAATCTGTAGATTCGGGAATACCCCATATATTCTTCACAAACTGAGATGTTCCCTGTAAAACGTTGCTTTATAAAGTACACCATGATAAGAGAAAATGCTACGCACACCGTAGTTTCATTGTTATAATCATTTAATGTCCATCGTCGTATCACTGTCACATCTTCGTATCACCGCGTCCTATGGTCATATCATTGTCGTATCACCGTCCTATCGTACGCGTCGTATCACCATCCTATCGTCGTATCACTGTCCCATCATTGTATCACTGTCCCATCGTCGTATCACCGTCCCATCGTTGTATCATCGTCCTATCGTCGCATCACCGTCATATCATTGTATCACCGTCCTATCGTCGTATCACTGTTCTATCCTACGTGTCGTATCACCGTCCTATCATCGTATCACCGTCCTATCATCGTATCACCGTCCTATCATCGTATCACTGTCCCATCGTCGTATCACTGTCCCATCGTTGTATCACTGTCCCATCGTCGTATCACTGTCCCATCGTCGTATCACTGTCCCATCGTCGTATCACCGTCCTATCATCGTATCACTGTCCCATCGTCGTATCACTGTCCCATCGTTGTATCACTGTCCCATCGTCGTATCACTGTCCCATCGTCGTATCACTGTCCCATCGTCGTATCACTGTCCAATCGTCGTATCACCGTCCTATCATCGTATCACTGTCCCATCGTCGTATTACTGTCCTATCGTTGTATCACCGCGTCCTGTCGTCGCATTACCGCGTCCTATCGTCGCATTACCGCGTCTTATCGTTGTATCACCATCTCATCGTCGTATCACCGCGTTCTATCGTCGCACCACCATCACATCGTTGCATCACTGTCCCATTGTCGCAAATTATTGTCATTTTTTAAAATCTTTGGCGACTTCACGGTCCGAATCCTTGTATTCATAGGCCAATTTACGATCCCATCGTCATATTCTATGTCCA